AGTAGTAAGAGTTAGCACACATATAGTTCATAAACAGCACCCCTAAGGGACAGAAGTCCTGAGTTCCAGTACAGAAGGGTGTAGAACCCTTGGAACTGAAGGTACAGGAGTAGAGAATTGTAACAAAAATAGTATGCTCAAGGCATGAACTGACAAAATACAACTGATTTATATAAAGACAGTCTCTTACTTTGCTTATTGTAATTAATTCTGTTTTGTCTGAGTCTTGCCACCATGTCTGCCTGTGTAAAGAATTATAAAAAAGGTAAGTGAGTGGCAAATGAATACTCTGAGCACACTCACTTATACTCTTGAAATATTATTCCTCAAATTACACTTGCCTTTTTTGATTTTGATTTCCAAATTTTTGGCCAGAGACATAAACGGAACATTAATAATTGATACTCAACTTTCTTACTTATCTGTTTCCGACTCAAAAATGAAAACACCACAGCTTGCAGATGGGCGCCGGTATAATAGTAGTACACCAGGCAGTAAGTTCTACAATCATGATTGCGGGAAGTAGAACTGCACCAAACTTCATCGGCCGCCAGCGTCAGGGGATAGTAAGGAAAGCGGCAGATTAACTGAGAAGAGGCTTTAAGGCAGTTATAAGATGTTCTTCTTCGCCTTCTGCAATGCTATACGGAGATCATGGTCATGCTAAACAGTTACTCCAGACTATATTTTCGATCCAATACATACATAGGTTTCCCAAGCGTAAGGAGACTGATAAAAACGTCCGCGAATTCCGTTGCACCAGTATATACATGCGATCCCGTAGGAAGTTTATCTAACCGAATTTTTTTTAAACAATTCACCGAAGCAATGAATCATACAGAATTTTTTTCGTGGGACTGAAAGGCCGTTGTCTCGTGTCATGATGACGATCCTTTAAACCATTGAATCAAATTTTCGCAGAACTAGAAGCCCATTGTTCGTGTTGAGATGACGGACCCTTATTATCCTAAAAACGATCGTAAGTATATTACAGTACATTCCCTCTTTTTAGACGATTCGGAGTGTGTCTTACCATCGATGACAATCTGACATTGTCGGTCCAATGCTCGTCTTTACCACGAAAGTCCTCAATGACGATGGAGTTCATGCCTCTCGAGGTCTCGTGCACGGCAAACTCGGGATAGGTCGCATTACCCGAATCGATGTGTGATACGAAGATAGAATTCGTTTGATCACCAATACGTAGACGACTGTTGAACACCACCAACAGAGAGTTGGAATACAGTTTAGCCCGGATGATGGCGAGGCAGACGTAGTAGTTCAGGTGAGGAAGGGCGAAGAAGCATGCTACTTCCGCTATTGCCATGAGGGCTGAAAGTACGGCATCGAAAATAGGTTAGAAAGGCTTCAGACAGTAAACGGTATGAAACAATGAATGAAGCACCTGTCAAAGAGCCAGTTTCGATGATCAACCGAATAAGTTTTGATATTAGTGCATGAGTGGCGCGAATCCCAGAATCACCGCGTTTAAGCTATTTGAAAATGAAGGCATAGTGAGACGCGGATAATGCATACGATGAAATAGCTGCCAGCTACTGACAAGTACTGTCATCGACGCAGCAATGACTAAATCGCACAGCGCACTCCCAGATAACCAAATCTAAATAATGACGAAGAGGCATTGAGCAACAATTTAATCCAAGTGACTCGCAAGAATACTCACAGTAATAGCGACGAACGCTTTTGAATTCACCAAGCTATACTTAGCAGCTAGATGAGCCTGCGCGCCGCCAATGATGCCAGCAACTGCTTGGGTGAGCGCAATCTGATGAATCGGTCAGATGAGCTATTACCTTGAAGTCGGGGTAAATATACCACGTACCACGGAGATGCCGAGCGTGAGCGCTTTTGATTTTGACAAGACATAGATCCGGTATGTGTAGCATAGTTGTACAGCGCAGCTCACTGTCAATGTATGTTCAGTAGCAGGCCAGATAGTTAACATTTCCGCAGAAGACGGACCTATGCCTGATAAAACGGGTACAGCGAGCCAGCCTGTCTGCACCGAGTCCAAAGCACTCACGTCTCCAAAATGCCGCGCATACATATAGAATGCATCGTGGGTAAGGAGGAGAGTCTGCGCTATCTCAATTAGATAGATTATGTAGACAAGGGCTTTGAAGGGCGTCGAGTCCCTTGGAAAAGCTAAGTGGTAAAGATCTAAACCAGAGTGATTTAGTGATTCTGAGCATATCAATATTCTAGCGTGCACATACAAACTTGAACGGTCAAGATTCCGAAGAGTCCCCAGTGAATGAAATCCGCTAAAAGCTACAGAACGGATCCGTTGGAAAGAAGGGAATATTCATATGCACAACACGTACAATTGGGCCAGCACTGAAGCAAAGGGCAGGATATTAGCAGAGATTTTAAGTTATGGTGTTTTCTCTACTCACATCTTCGCAATGTCCGGCGGAATCGCGGGGGTAGCCATGGATGAGACCTGTCAGCCGATTCTAAGGCGGTCTTCAGCTAAATGAGACGCACCATGTTATATGCCGTTCAAAGAAGCAACTCCAAGAACATGCTGAGAGTATAACCGCTCAATGAGAATCGAATTTGATATGGAAGCGACGGTCTGTATCAATCGGACGACGACAAAAATAGTTGTCCAATGGTGCAAGCAAAACTCCATGATTCTATCACGGGAACAGATATATGACTTCGAAACTTGATTAGTAATATCAGTAATGTGCATATCGAAACCAACCTAGAATAGAATAGCCGGCATACAAGAGTTTTTTCGAAGTCGGTGGCACAGAACGTCAGAACCCCTGTTGGCAAGGTTTAAATGCGTGTCGTCCGTGATGTCTGGCTAGTAGAGGCATTGCTTAACAGCTAACCATGTCGCATAAAAAATACCTATAAAAAAACGCGTTCCATCACTAGAGTGATGCGGAACATACCAGCTATCAACGACCCGAGTCTTCAACTCGTTGTGTCCGCTAGTTCAGTGTGATGCTTATGGTTGAATGTTTGAAAAGAGAAAAGCAGAGGGGAGCGGAAAGAGACGAAAATATTCTTACTTGAGAAATGGAAGAGGCCAGAACAGTTTACACCCGATGGCGGAAGTGGGAATTATCCTTATACTTAGTTACTTTCCCTTGTGAGCGGCACTGAAGACAACTATAGCTACCAGCCACCATCTGCTCAATCATTCTCTGAGGATATTTTCTCCGCGAAAGTAGAATTCTGGATTGTTCTTTGCGTTAAGACCTCATTTTCGTTGGAAACTGTACTGCATGAGAATAATTGGTCTTGTCTTCCTCCGAGCACACGGCCTCTGCGAAGAACATTGAGCGCTGATGCTTGAAGTTGTTAAGGCGGTTAGTCCGGCGTGCTTTCGATTTCAGTTTGGAAAAAAATTAATTTGAGCCGCACGTGTGTTCTCTACAAAAGGCATGCGACGTTTTCGTTACAGAGCGCAAGCTACCTACAACGCACTCGCACCTAAAAATAAGGTGATAAGTACACCAAGATGCAGAATGTAAAAATCGGCTGCAGAAGAGTATACATACCAGTGATAATGTCGACAAGCTCGTTCGTGATAGCGGCCTGGCGACCACGGTTGTACTGAAGCGTGAGGCTATTGATCATGTCACCCGCATTCTTGGACGCGTTATCCATGGCATTTCGGCTAAGACGCATCAATCGTAAGCACAAAAGGATAGAAACTGAAAAAGCAAGAGGCCCACCGAGAGCTAATTTCACACGCATGGCTCTCAACAAGCGCGGAGAAAATGGCATTTGCGAGTGTGAATTCAGCGAGATCTTTTGTCACATCATCCTCCATTTCGTAAGCCTTGAAGCCAGCTGAAAGAAAATACTTCAGTTTGTAAGAATACGTCCCCGGAGTTTCGATAGCTCACGAGCTTCCTTAAGCGACTCCTCGCCAGCAACGACCGTCTTTGTCGCCTCAAACGAAATAGCCGAAATAAATTTATTGTAGACGATATGGACCTCATCATACTTCACACCGGACGTCGTTATCAAGTCCGCGACGGAGGCAGCATCGGCAAAGGTGGGCACGTCACGACCGATTTGATTGAATGTGAGGACAAGATTCCCGCCGAGAGCACGAGAAAGTTGTGCTTTGGACTTATCACCAATGACCATGATTGGTGTATCCTGCTCGGTTTCACCTTCCTTGAAATCCCGACGAGTGGCCTTGGATACAGAAGAATGGATACCACCGCAGAGACCTTTGTCGGAGGAGATGACAAGATAGAGCTTGCGTTTAGCACCTTCCTCGGGAGGAGCATTCTGGAAAATCTCTGCGCACAGGAGAGTATAATGCGTCAGGCCATGTCACGGCCAAATCGGAATAAATGCACGCACCGGTATTAGCAGCACCGTATTGTTTGCCAGTTTGCATCGCGCGCTGCGCCTTCGCCAGTTTCGTCGACGCAATCATTTTCATCGACTACACACCCATACAAATACAAAACTCGGCATCAGAAAAACCCACTTTCCGTACCATCATTTGAGTATTCGCACCTTGGTGATTTTCTCAATGTTGCGAACGGACTTGAGTCGAAGCTCAAGTTCACGAAGCGTCGCCATGTTGCGCGCGCCAGCGGGCGCAGTCAGAGGGGACTGCTGTGCAGCCGTGCGGCCGAGGGCGAGCGAGCGCCGTGCCAACATTGTGGAGAGAGAAATTAAAGGAGTGCGAGATGGACAAACGCAGAGGCGAGGAGCACTCACTGCGACGTTGACGAGCATCGGGAACAGCCGGGTATTTTCTAACGTATTTAATTACATAATATACTTTCCTGTTTTAGGCCTGAGTCATGCAATCACCATTCCCCACCGTCTTACCTGCCGTCTTCCACGATCTCTTCGATACACTCCTATCATAACAGCAAAAATGGCATCCGAGGAGCCCATGTTTGACCCCTCTCTGAAGAAAAAGAAGAAGAAGAAGACCGTAGCCTTCTCAGAGGACCCACTGGGCGCTGATGCGGACCCTACAACCCCGGCGCCGCCACTAGAGGATGACGACGCTCCCGCAACAGTTCACGAGCAGATGAAGCAGAGTGCGATGGGAAACGGTGATGACGCGGTAAAGGAGAACGGTGATGATGACTTTAAGGCGATGTTTGGAGATCTTAAGAAGAAGAAAAAGAAGAAGGAAATCCCGATGGACTTGGTGCATACATTCTGTACTTTACTATTCGGATTGTTTACTGATTTTTGTTTTACACAGGGTACAGAAGGCTCTGGGGCTTCAACACCGGCTGAAGGAGCAGCTACTCCGGACCTTGACTTCTCGGACCTTAAAAAGAAAAAGAAGAAGAGAGAAATCCCGCTCGACTTGGGCGAGGATTCAGGTGCATCGACGCCCGTGGCAAAGGAAGGAGACGATGGTACTGCTCCAGCAGAGGATCTTGATTTCAGCGACCTGAAGAAGAAAAAGAAATCGACTAAAAAGAAAGCCGCGTTCGACTTAGAGGCATTTGAACGCGAGCTCGGAGAGGCGCAGGGCGATGTTGTTGATGGCACTCATCTTGATCATTTTGACGAGAATGAGCTAGGAGACGATGTCTTTTCTCACGGTGGGGCTGCAGGTGATGGCGGAGCGGAGCCATGGCTCGGAAGTGACAGAGATTACACTTACCCTGAGGTATTTCTCCTGCTTTGACTGTTTCGAGCATTTAGTGAATTTTTTGTCTGCCCTCTAGCTGCTTCACAGATTCTATAACCTCCTTCATGCACAAAATCCCTCGTTACTATCGTCTGCTGGTAAGCGGTACACTATTCCCCCACCGTCCGTCCATCGAGAAGGGAACAAGAAGTCGATTTTTGCCAACGTCAACGACATATGCAAGAGGATGCACAGGCCGTTAGACCACGTCACGCAGTTTATGTTTGCAGAAATGGGAACAACTGGTTCTCTGGATGGGTCTAGTCGGTTAGTCATCAAAGGTCGGTTCCAACAAAAGCAACTTGAAAACGTTTTGAGGCGATACATTGGTCAGCAACTTCTGTCTGATACGGGTATGCTATGACTAACACGATATTTTATAGTCGAGTACGTGACGTGCAAGACATGCAGGTCCCCAGACACGGTGTTGCAGAAGGAGAACCGTATTTTCTTCGTGTCCTGTGAATCGTGCGGGTCGAGGCGGTCTGTGCAGACGATCAAGACTGGATACCAGGCACAAGTTGGGCGCAGAAAGAAAGCTGCACAATGAAGAAGTAGGATATATGAGTGACCGTGTTTGTAGCATCTTATACAAGCTGTATCATGCTGCTGTATCTTCCAGCCAATCCGTTCATCTGCTTTTGTAGTTAGAGTTGCTAAGTTCATGCTAGCCAATTAGTAGTGCGAGTATGTAAGCATTGCCATATTTAGCAAGCGTGTTTCAGTCAGTGAGAATTGCTAAGTACTTGCTTGCACTGGACTAGGACCTCCGTTGGGTCTACGCCCTCTTCCTTCTCTCTTCCTAGTTCCTTCCACCACCATCCCCCGCCCCTCCACCGGGCGCTGTGCGAGAATAAAAACAATATGCGCGTCCGCACGCTCGAGATACGATGGCACGACAGCAAGCCAATTAACTCGTGTGACTTCCAGCCCGCGCCCTCAAAGAAGGCGCGCCCGGCGAATGAGAGGGACTTCGCGTCCCAGTCCTACAGACTTGCAACTGCGGGCGAGGACAACAATGTCAGAGTATGTCATTCGCCCTTGACCCAAGCAGTAACGCATGACTTGACGCGTATCAACGCTATTTAGATATGGATGGTCTATCCAAATATCCTCCCACCTAGTGTGGCTCAGAGCGCGTCCGCGTCGGGGTCGTCCGTCCAGCCTACGCCGCACCCGCCGCGCGTCGAGTACCTCTCCACTCTTTCAAAACACCATGCCCCGGTTAACGTCGTACGGTTTAGTCCGAACGGTGAGCAATGAACGCGTCTTCTGACTGATGAGTCGTGGAATGGAACTGAATCAATTACCCGCTTAGGAGAACTGATTGCTTCTGCTGGTGACGGTACGTAGATGTTCTGCTTGGCTGGTACCGGGCACGGCATTTCAGTGTGCATTTCAATCTTGGAACGTTACGTGTAGAGGAGTCCAGTTCATTCGGAGGCGTATCTTAGGATAGACCTGTTTATTCATTTCGAGACGTTGGGCGTTTTGCCGTTGATATCCGATCAGCACATTTGAATTACCATACCCGATCTTAGCCAATTTTGACGAAAACATCTCAATACTGACTCGAATTCACTTCCAGATGGCATGGTGATAGTATGGTCGCCCTCGGCTTCGGCGCCAAACGCGGCGTACGGCTCCGAACCGGACGAGCACTCATACGAGAAGGAGTTCTGGAAGGCACGTACTCCATTTCGATGCTCGACAATGCAAGTATATGATCTTGCATGGAGTCCAACCGGGGAATATATTATCGCGGGAAGCACGGACAATACGGCACGCATCTTCAATTCTGTGGATGGAAAGTGCTTGCGTGAGATTGCCGAGCACAGTCATTTCGTGCAGGGAGTAGCCTGGGATCCGCTCAACGAGTACATTGCGACACAAAGCAGCGACCGCGCTGTACATGTCTATAATTTTTCGACGAAGCACGGTACCTTTGACATGCACGCTGTGGGACGAAATATGAAGATGAATGTGAGAGCTAGCAGAACGCCCAGCGTTGGGGTTGGTCGGAAGCGCCCACGTTCGCATCGCAAAGAATCGACTGCGAGTGACGCAGAGTCGGCGATTGCGTCAGATAGAGACGAAATATACCCACCACCGCCTCCTGTTAGTATGCCAATTCCAATGACGCCTGCGCCTTCGATTGCAAGCACACCATCTGCTTCCGGTCCGGCCTTCATGCCGCCACCGTCTGAACGGACAATGTCGAGACGATCGTCCTTCAGCTCGGTTGCACCGGGTTCGCCAGCCCCCTCGCATTATAGTGCTAGTCATACGGGTCGTTCTCCGTCTCCTATGCCTCCACTACCTGCCATCCGCGCCCCTCCAAGTCCACAACTAATTGCTCAATCACGATTATATGGCGATGAGAGCTTCACAAACTTTTATCGACGGCTTACATTTAGCCCTGATGGTGCGCTTTTGCTGACACCTTCCGGGCACTTTGAGGACCCGAGCAACATCGCGTCTCTGATGGCGGGCGAGTCTTCGTCGCGTGGGCGGCGTGGGAATCCTGCGGATAGCACACTCACCGACCCAACGTCCGCGTCGTCGGTATTCATTTATTCCCGAGCTAACTTTGCTCGTCCACCGATTGCACAACTTCCTGGACATAAGAAAGCGAGCGTTGCAGTCAGGTTTTCTCCTGTGTTGTATGATTTGCGCCCTGGTGTAACGGGTGCACAAGCACCACCGGAACCGCGAACTGTGAACGTTGCGGTTGAACGTGGAAATAGCGAACAGATTGACATAGACATGGTTGGCCCGTTGCCTTTATCCGCTTCCGCTGTATCTACGAGTGATCCACAGTCGCAGGGCGTGAAGCGCCCCGATTCTCGTAGTCAATCGCGTGTTGGGCCTTCACCGTCTCCGCAGACCCCGCATCCTTCTCAGACGCTTCCTTCACCGGCTCTTTCTGCTGTAGATGGACCGCCGCAAACTCCTGCGCAAAGGTCTGCAACACCGTCAACGGCTGGAACGAGTACTAGCGCTGGCGTGCAAGCACAGAACACGCATCAGCAGACTGGTTCAGTTTTCGCATTGCCCTACAGGATGCTGTTTGCGGTCGCGACTATGGATACAATTACGATTCACGACACGCAGCAGGCGAGCCCCATCGCGTTGCTGACAAAGTTACATTATGACGAGTTCACTGATATGACTTGGTATGTGTTCCCTGCCTGAGTTCAGGCTTTGTTGCTTTGCTAATGATGTTTTTTGCATGGGATAGGTCTCCAGATGGGCAGTGTCTGATGTTGACCTCTCGTGATGGATACTGCACAATTGTGATATTCGACCAGATCCTTCCAGCACACCATACGCAACAACACGCACTACAACTGCAGTCGATTGCGTTGGTACATCAGCATGGACACCACACCCACCATGCTCATTCACACTCTCAAGTATCAGGCTCGACCTCCACATCAACACATGTGACACCTTTGCCAACACCTGCGAAGCGCACTGCACCGTTACCGCCTTTGGATAAGCCCGTTTCTAGTGCTGGGACGAGCACGAGTGCGCCACCTGAATCTGCGACCTCAGGAACGTCAGTAGTTTCTGCGTCCAGTGAGCTAGCAACAGCGCAAGTGTCTCCTGCAACTCCAGAAGTTCAGAATACGGAGCCCGATAATGCTAAACCTGCGAGTTCGACTTCGGTAGAGCCACCGAAGAAGAAACGGAGGGTTGCATTGACTCGCGTGGGAGACGTCGATTCATGATCCATGAATAATGGTACGAAAAAAAAATTAAGTGATTTTATGCTTGGTACGCCATATCTATTCTATTTCTCCCCAAATATACGTACATTGGATACGTACATTCTCCTGCCATTACCACTGTTTAAGCGTAGGGCAAAGATCTTGTTTGTTCCTGCCTATGAGCTCTCTTGAGTTTCTAGTTCCTAGCACCTTCCTATCTCGTCTCGTTACCTCATTTTGACTTTATTCCTACGTTTGACCTTCTATGATATATTTTTCTCCCTTGATCCTCCAATATCGACTCTATTTCTTAAAAGCGAATTCCTTGGTTTGGTCTACCTATCCTCTATACTTGTTCTTTCTGTCACCACGGCACAATTATGATTATGTTGACTCGGTCTAACAGTGGACAGTTGAGAGTGAAGTTGTTCATAGTTCTATGCTATTGCTCGACGAACACACATGCGATGATCCTGGTTGCCGTTAGGCTTGGCAGGGTGCTATAAGGTTAAATATCGTCATAGTGGTTTGCATAAGTGAGGGCATCCCATCGAGTGAAATACACGTAGCAATGCAGAGTATAACATTAGAATATCAGTATGTAGAAATTGGTATATAAATCCACAGGATAACCTAAGCCAGAATATCTGATAAATGATGAGGTCCGATTCACATGCAACAGAGTACCTATGAATCAAAATGTCTCTGTACAGTTAGCCGAACCCTCCTTCGTACGAGCAAGGACGCCTTTCACACTCCGAATAGCATTTTGCCTTGCGTTGACTAATCGCTTCGCACGAACAACGTCTGGTACAGGTGGGAGGAGCATTGCACGATAATCCGGGGCCTCCTTTCGTACCGAAGTGGACGAGTTGCCTGGCGGTTCGATCCCATCTGCACTGTTCTGGTTATTGGAAGGTGCTGACGGAGAAAGTGTAGCTAGTTCGGCACGTAGCTGTGCGAGTTGATCGTCAAGCTCTTTGAGCTCCTCTATAGCAGCTTCTACTTCTTCAATGGCTTTGAATGTTTGGCATACTTCACGTGTGCATGTTTCGATGTGCGTAAATCGCACAGGACCAAGGAGCGTACCGCCGAACCTACAGTGTTGTATTTGCTCCAGAATTGAATTAAGGGTCAGAGGTGGGCTTCTTACCATCGACTCACGATAACTACTACATCAATAACTCCTTCTTTCTCCATTGCTCGTAAAATACTTTGACCTCCTCTGTCCTCGCCGTCATCGTCTTTTCTGCTTGTCAGCTCGAAATCGTCTGGTCCGCCCAGACCATCCTTCCCTTTCTTCAGTACCATACATCTCCAAGCAGAAATCTCGTGAGATGCAGGTTTTGAGTGGTTGAATACATGCTTATGGTATGTGCGTATGCGTTGCGCTTCCGCGGGGGACGAAGCACGATAAATTGTTCCAATGAAAGTGGAATCACGGTCGTGTATTGCGGTGGAGGTTGCAAGGGAAGTAGGAGGAGGATTATTTGAGGTAACGAATCCGTCCAGATTCGAGGGTGGCATATTAAGTATGCAAGAAAAAAAGAGACGAACAAAATGCGGAGGCAAATTCCACAGCAATTCAGTTGTTAATTTCAGTAGCGTAGAGTAAGCGCACGTGAGGTACTTTTTCCAAAAAAGGATTTGCATTGACTTCTATGCCACCGCTATAATCGCAATACTTCTGGAATAGAAAGAAACACTACTAGCATCATTTTTCTAATATGTTTATCTAACTCCCCGCTTTGTTTTGTCCAACTTGTTTGAATTCACTACCTAGATCATAAAAAAGTTTCCAAGAGTTGTTGCAAGCTACAGATATTGATAAGGCCTTCGTGATTCACTAAGAGCAAATAATTAGACAGATTGTATAACTTGCTGGGCAATTATTTGGAATATTCTCCTCAGCTTAGATGCATAACTCACTGGAAGAATCGTCTAGGGTGCACTGCAGCTTCTTGAGAAAGTTACTAACAGGCTTCCTACTTTCAGTATAATGGGAAACACATACTGATAAACAGCTGATTGGCACAGGGTAGCTCAAAGCCCTATAATTACCAAAAATAATTACACAGCTTGTCAAAGAGCAATTACAGACAGGATGCAAGATGCTGTCACTTGTGTCTGTGTAGGAGGATACTGATTAGCAGGCGTGGGAATAACTGAATTCGGATTATCGGCTGTATTTGTGCACCGTCTCCACTCAGCCTCTTGGCCGTACTCTCCACCATCCTCGTCACCACAACACATCGCGGCGACAGAGGCACAGCACAGAGGACACTACCACTTCTTGCGCCGCCTTCATACAGCATTCGCACCATTGCCTCTCCAGAACCTCGGGGCTTACCGACGCTTTGGCTTCTCACCCTCCACGGTCAGGTGCTACCCTAGCTTTGGTTGAGTGCTCGACGAATCCGGCGTGCTGGACCTAAATAAGGAGCAGGCTGGTACAACTGGTAGCTCTCTGACATCTTACACTAACCATGGAGGACTTTGGGATTGTCTATATCATCGAGAATGCCCAGCAGTTTTGGTCAGGTGTGTCTCATTTTGCCCCTCATTCTCAATACACTCGGCTTATTTCCTGATCCTACGTTCGGTCTACAGAGCTTGAGGATATCCTGCGGATATCTGAGGATGCGAGTTTGGGTCAGCTAGATGCGACTCTATCGCGCTTCGTTTCTTTCTGCGCGACATACCATGGTGCGTTTACACGGTTGGTCTGCACTGAATCGTGCTCAGCATGTCCTCCAGAACAATATCTGCAATCACCTATCCAGCTGGAGCACGCATGCTCGCTTCTCCTGCAGTGTGATCTTTTTACGTTTCACTCGGAGAGGATGCGCGAGCGACTCCTGGAAGACGCAGAGAAGGTTCGTCCCTGTTTCCTCCTGTCACCTCCGGTCCGAGCCTAACGGACCTTTCCCTTGGCAGACCACCGACCCTCACGGCCAACTCATATTGTTCCAAATTCTCCTACAATACGGCCGCAACCATCCAAGCTTTCTTCGTTCACAAAAGAAATGGGCTCCCCTGCTTCCCCTGCTTATGGATTACGTCCTGCTCGACTTTGATCCGGAAGTAGAAGACCTTGCTACGAGCTCGGGATGGAATAAAACATTACCTACCCCTATCGAAGCGAATTTGCGGATCTTGGCTGTCGGGATTCTTTACGAAGTATGCAGAGTACAGAAGTTTTCTCTGGCGGATTTACGTGGGTGTTAATAACCGAGGGTGCATGACGTATAGCTGACGGAATGGATTTTCATCTAGGAGTCTTTGACGATGCCTTCATTGATTTTCTTTTCGATCTCGTCGAACAAACTCGACATATGCAAGATGAAGCGTTGAATTACTCGCTCATTAAATTAATAGTAGGTGTTGTGATTTGTCCTGGTTGTTACAATATATTAACTTCTGTCCAATCAGGTCGCATTAAACGAACAATTCATGGTTGCGACTGTCTCGTCAAGTACATCTAGTAATGGCCATAAGGATTCAAAACACTTGCCTGCAGAGCAGAACAACCGAGTACTTCGTGTCCTCATGCTTCGATTGAATTCTAGCAAAACATTTGGCGAAAATATGATTTTCATGCTAAATCGCGCTGGTGAGTTGTTATACGTTGCACGAGTCAGCCCACATCGTTTAGTTCACCGATTCTTCATATTAGGCCGTACACCGGAAGATTTATGCATGCAATTGTTGGTTCTGAAAATATTGTACCTATTATTTACGACAAAAGGCACAACTGAATATTTCTACACCAATGATTTGCGTGTCCTTGTCGATGTGTTCTTGCGGGAACTTGTTGACCTGGACGAAGATAGCGAATCAGTACGTTTCTCGTAGATTCTTATTTGTATTACAGCTAAGTAATCCGTAAATAGTTACGACACACCTACCTCCGCGTACTCCATCCCCTCCTCACACGCACTCAGCTCCGCTCGGTGCCATACAAACGGCCGCAGGTCGTACGAACATTAGAGTCTCTAATCAGCCATTCAAGCATCCGAGATATCAATCCTACGACTAAGCGTCTCGTTGAACGATGTCTATCAGGTGACTGGTGCGTGCAACTACGGCGCGTTAACTCGCCCGGATCGGACACAACCGCGACCGGATTCAGTACTGGTACAAGCAGAGGTAATAGTCCTGGTGTGGCTGACACGGTGTCAACGGCTAAGGACGAATATATTCCGACATCGTCGCCGGATAGCCCTCACTTTTTGAAGCCACGCGAGAGGCAGCATTCGATAAAGGCAAGCAAGAGTGTTGAGAACCTAAGGAAGACAAACGGTACGAAGGGCAAAACACACGGCGAATCTTACACAAAACACGGGAATGCCAGCGTGTTAAACCTCCAGTCAATTGGTGCTGCCCTTCCGGCTACATCATTACCTGTTTCACCCACTTCACCGATTACAAATGTCAAGCTGCCTCAACGTGCCTCGACACTACCTGATCAGAATCTATCGTCTTCGTCGAGTGCGTCTCTCCCATCTTCCGTCTCCTCTCTGGATCAGCTCGCTGGAGCGACTAGTTCACCGAAACACCCTCCTTCGATTTCACGAGTGCACAGCCATCAAGGCACTTCATCCGGATCTACCCCTGCCCCTCCGGCTGTAACTGTACACTCCAGTTCACTCGGACAAGTCGTTGACAGCATCGTGTCTCCTACGCCCGTCCAACACTCCTCAGGTCGTTCTCAATCTTCGATGTCAGGAAAGAAGAACTTTTCTTACAACCCAAGCTCAAACTCGACTTCACGTTCTTATGAGCAGGAAAGACAACGACGAAGTGCACCGCCCACACCGCCACCGAAACGACGCAAACCGCCTGCGATACCTGTCGAGAAAACGGCACGTACGGCGGGTGGAGCGACAATGATGACTATCGCTTCTTCGTCTGTGACAGGGGGTAGGAAGGCGCCTAGTCCACTGAGCAGAGTGCATCCTGTAAATCCGTCCTAACATTTGTTCGTTACGATTTTCTTTTTCGGTGATGAAGCTTTTCTCTCTCTTTTAATTTTTGTATATAGTCTGAGGATATTAATCGTATCGAGGCTTCATAAACATTTCGCTCATGCACACAATTTTCGTTCACTTTTTTTTCTATTACACTTTTATCACATGCCTAGATGAACAGACTTCTTTTCGACCTTTCATTGCATGCCATGTATTGTACATCTCATCTCATCAATATCAGCAGCAGGTTATATCTACTGTGTGCATTGACCTGTCTGGCTTTATGTTTATACAAACTCGGCATGGCCTCGAAGGATTCGATTAGGATCTGTATTCCGGTAAGCTGAGAAAGTCAAAAGAGTAATCTTGCAGCCAAGGTATTATTTATTGTGCGAAGTCACTTGGCGAATCAACTTGATAATGCCCACAGAAACCAATAGTCTGTACAAATTTGAATCACTTTTGACTGTGATATCATTATCCCTGCATATTTTCGCCAAATCGATATCAGCCTCTTTCATAACGTTTGCTTCCTCTTCCGTAGATTGTAAGTCGTACGGTTTCGACTTATAAACACGCACAAATGTTGGTCCCTTTTGTATGTATGCTGCAAGGAAGAGAGAACATAATGTAACTCCAGATTAGTTTTGATGGCTTTGGAAGGAATGCACAAACCTGTGAACCTGCTCTTTCCGTCGTCTACCCAGCTTACCCGGAAGTTATCGCTGGTTTGCTTGTTCCAGACTAGGTAATACAATATAAGCATATATATAGATTGACCTGCACAGGGCCTCGTAAAGCTGTACTCACAGGAAATGAACTCGCTTGAGGCTTTGAATAAAGCACAGCAATATGAAAATATGGTACAGTATATGACAAAAGTATTGCACAGGTGAAAAAAAATATATAACTTCCCCAAAACACAATAATATTACACTCTGTAAATTGGTACTTGTAGTCTAGCATTTTATGAATACAACACTCTATAGAGTATTAAATTCCTTTCAAAAATGAGTGAAAGCAGAGAA